TCCTGCTGTTCATTTTCTGTTTCTTCTGTGTGTTTTTTGTACTCTTGTACACACAGTACTGTGTGTACTCTTGTACACACAGTACTGTGTTCTGAACGGAGCTAATGTTGCGTTGCACTTGCAGTTATATGTTTTAGTTTGAATGATATTCAGTTCGTTGTTAAAGTGTGTATTTTGGGCTGAAAAACTACAGTTTTTCACTTTGATCCTCTCTCTTCTCCACACTGACAGAATCCCAGTACATGCAGTACTGCAGTACTGCATGTACAGTGTACTGTGAACCATGACACAGGTATGTAGCTACAGTCAGACACGCTGTAGTTGGTCTGTTGTTTCACCGATATAGCGGGGCAGCGGCGGCCTGGTGGTGAAGGAAGTGTAGTGCCACCTGCTGACTAAGGGATGAATAGATCCATAGAATGAGCTGCAATGCTGCCATCTAGTGACTTTCACTGTCATATACACAGACATTGTGTTGTCGGGTTTTCATTATTGTACGAAAACACGATAACGATTCTTACAACATTCTTTATGTCTGCAGAGCTAACAGCACCGTTACAGACCAGAGGAACTGAAGAACAACAGACCAGCAGGGGTCAGTGCTGTGGCAGTGAGGAGTCTAACACACTGGTCTGAGGTCAGCTTTACAGACGGACGTGAAGAAAAACAGGTTAAAAAAAACTGAAAAAATCTGTTGTTGTCATCGTTGTCGTTGTTGTTGTTGTTGTCGTTGCTGCAGTAAATCATGGACAGTTTGTACTCTCACACTACTACATTCACTGCAGTAGTACACGCAGTACAACATTCTAACAGTTCATTCCTCAGTGAAGCTACATGACCTGTGAAGAGGGTAAAGGTCACCCACCTTGAAGGACCTGGAGGGTGAGGTGGGGGTGTACGGCTGAGACATGTCGAAGCTCATCACGGAGGCAGCCTCCGACTGAGGGTCCCAGTCCGACTCCGTCTGGAAACTGCATTCAGTCGTCACGCTCATCTGGTCGTAGCTCCTGCAAGAGCGAGGCAGGAAACACAGAGGGGGGGGGGGGGGGGGGGGGGGGGGGGGGGGGGGGGAGGGGGGGGGGGAGGATGTTATGTCATCTTCTATTGTTCCACTCCTCACTGTGAAATGTTATTGTTCCAGGTGTTTGGGTTTTTCAAACTTTTCCCACTGAATATGAACTTGGACGTGTTTCTACTGCCCCCTGCTGCTCACTGTGGGAAGTGAGCAGGGGTGGATCTTGTTTTCTTGTTTGTGTTAACACTGGATCATTAGTTAGTAAAGATGAGGTCACATGTTGACACGTGTTGACACGTGTTGACGTTCCCGCTCTCCGTTTGTGCAGCTGGGGGACCACAGACCGACCTTTTAACACCGCACAGAGAAAGCTCAGCAATTAGACCGCACACGAGTGTTCTAGTACAGAGGTGAGAGGTGAGGAGGTGAGGTGACCTCTGCTTTTAACCCATCACCACAGTCAGCAGGGGGCAGCAGTGAGTGGGGACGGTGCCAGGCTCACTTGGTGGACTCGAACCTGAAACCTTCTGGTCCCAGGTCCACTTCCTTAACCACTGCCCCAGTCATCACGTCACAATCACAAGACAGCTGCAATACTCGATTTCCTCCACCAGAGGGTGGAGTTGGCTCAGTTTTGCAGTAGCAGGAAGTCAGTTTCCTAAATGTTGTTCATGTAACTCCCCCCCCCCCTCCTCTCACCCCCTCCCTCCTCATGGTAAAGGCTTAGCAACAGGAAATGTATCAACAATAAATCCCAATAAATGGTAAACAGCATTAAAGAGATGATGTTGTTGTTGTTGATGTTGTTGTTGATGTTGTTGTTGATGTTGTTGTTGATGTTGTTGTTGTTGTTGTTGTTGTTGTTTTTTGTTTTTTTTTGTAGAACACGATGAACCGTTAAAAAGATCTGACGTCTCTTCTTTTTTCCCTCCTAAACAGAGAGAGCGCCCCCAGGTGCAGGTGAGAGGAACAAACCCACCATGAGACGAGGTGATGAAAGTACACGCCCTGACCCTGACCCTGACCCTGACCCTGACCCCACAGCTCCGAACTTTTCCAAACTAAACCTAAAACCCACAGAAAACGAACTGAAGACCGTGACACAGTGGAAGAAAAGTTCAGGCTGAAATTCTTGCCTCTGTCAGCGGGGGGAGCCGCGGGGCACGGACCCGCTCCGACTTGTCTGACTCCGGTCTCCACACGGACAGAGTTCCAGTGTTTGAACGTGGAGATTAAATCAGGACAGAAATGTTGTGAGTCAACATTCACTGGAACCGATCCTTCTACCACTGCAGTACTGCAGTACTGCAGTACAACTGGTTACTGCAACTGGAACTGGTTACTGCAACTGGTTACTGCAACTGGAACTGCAACTGGAACTGGAACTGGAACTGGAACTGGAACTCACCGAGTTCTCCTGAAAAATCTGGACCAGGATTTTGTTTGACTGACGTTTGAAGTCCGAAACACTACGAATACTGCAGTACTGAAATACTTCAGTATTTCTGTGCAGGATCACTGAAAACTCCAGTTCAATGTTCCACTCTAAAATACTGCAGTACTTCAGTACTGCAGTATTTTCATGAAAAGTATTTGTGCCTCTTTGACCCGAGGCTCACATTTGGACTCAAAGCAGTTTTTTTATATTTATATTTTTTATTCATATTTTAATATAAAATTATTTATCATATAAAAAATTTAAAATGATTAAAATTTGTAATAATGTTGGAGGTCAGAAATATCTGAGAAGAAAATAACAGTTAACAGTGTTATTATCACATAATAATTACAATAATAATAACAATAATGATAATTATTATCATTATTGTTATTATTATCACATAATAATAATAATAATAATAATGATGATTGATTTCCGTTGAATTTCAGAGACTTATTCAGAATCACATGAATCCAGGACCTGATCCAGGACCTGATCCAGGACCTGATCCAGGACCTGATCCAGAACCTGATCCAGGACCTGATCCAGGACCTGATCCAGGACCTGATCCAGAACCTGATCCAGAACCTGATCCAGGACCTGATCCAGGACCTGATCCAGAACCTGATCCAGAACCTGATCCAGGACCTGATCCAGGACCTGATCCAGGACCTGATCCAGGACCTTCAGTTCAGGTATTTTTCTGCAACAACAGAGTTGATGAAATAATGCTAACACTTAATGCTAGCAGCTGTGACGGTGCAGCGGTCCTAGGATTCCTGGCCACCGTGTGGCCGACGCGGGCTACAACTATGGGGTGAGTCCAAGTTGACGGAACGTATTTAAATTAAGATCAGTAGGTAATGAAACCAATAGAGAAGTACAACAAACCTAAGGCCCACGGGCCAAAGACGGCACACCACGTCACTTTAGTGGGCACTTTTTTCCTACCAATTTATACCTATGTGAATGGTGGACACGGCCAGTATTTTTAGTCTTGATTTTGGATTTACCATAAACTACATCTCCCATAATACACCTTGACCTCTTGACCTGTTTCCTACAGTCTTGGCAAAAGGAAATATCAACGATGAATTAAAAAAGGTTAAAGAGAAAAAAAACTGTTTGCTAAAGTTAGCATGTCTGCTAAAGTTAGCATGTCTGCTAAAGTTAGCCTGTCTGTCAAAGTTAGCCTGTCTGTCAAAGTTAGCCTGTCTGCTAAAATTAGCCTGTCTGCTAAAGTTAGCCTGTCTGCTAACGTTAGCCTGTCAGGCTGGTTTTCTAACCAGAGGTTGGAACCGATGGCACCCGGACACAGAACTGTTTTTCAGCAGCAGCACGTGCACAAAGGCAGTAACACTGGATACTGTTTTTCTGTCCAATCAGAGAGCAGCAGTGGGCGTGGCCTCGGCGTCTTATTGAAGTTGAAATAGAAAACCAGTGAGTCGTTGAACAACAGTCGTAGAAATGTAAAAACCAGCAGCAGTTAATGGAGTGGGGTAGAACCCTGGGGTAGAACCCTGGGGTAGAACCCTGGGTTCAGAAATCCACCTTTTTTACCTGACGCCGTCAACTTCCTGTGACGAACGCCGTAAATCTTTCTTTTGTGCGAATTTAAGCCGCATTTAATAACGGAAAAAAATTGTTGCACAACAAATTCCACCAAACCTTTGTTGCCTAACCCGACAACTGCCCCAGTTGCTGCTGCTGAGGTTGGTTTTTAGTCGACTTGTCAAAACGAAAGCGCTCCTGGATGAATGGCTGGAACGGTTCCAGCTGCTGACTCACCCTCGGGGGG